GATTCCTTCCACCTCAGCCTTCCGAGTAGCCAGAATTACAGGCATGCGCTACCACGCTCGGCTGATTTTTTGATTTATTGTAGAGATGAGGTCTCGCTGCCCAGGCGGGTCTCGAACCTGCGGGCTCAGGCAATCCACTCACCTCAGCCTCCCAAAGGCGCAGGATTACAGGCTGAGCCATCGAGCCTGGCCAAAATGTTAACAGTGTTGCCTTTGGTCGTAAGAAATATAGGCGCTTGCCCTCCCCCACTTTGTTACATTAATATATTTTCCAAAATTCTATAATGAACAAAAACAATAATTATTATTCTACTCTTTCTCTTTAATTTTACTGTCCCCAGTTTCTCAGCATCTATGGATGTTTTTCCTGACAGATATTCACTTAGCTGGACTTCTTCCAGAAGAGGCTCTGTTAACTTTCATGTGACTGTTGCCATTTCACTTTTCCATGTAATGAGTGATTTTGTTGAATTTATCTTTTACTCATTTGATTTTTCCTCTCTTATCCTTTCACTCAGCCACACTGGGACTATCATCTACTGAGGTAAGAAGGTTACAATAAGAAGGTTGGAATTCACATGCATCCCGCCTTTGAAGATATTCCTAGCCAAAAATAATGTGTAGCATTATCACTCTTTTTTTAAAAAAATTTTTTTAAATGTATTTTGGGGGGCAATAGCGTGTTTTACCTGGGCAAGCTCCAAGATTGGTGTTTTAATGAGACAGTGAAAGTAAACAAGGTCTTTAAAACAGGACCCCCAGATAGGAACCTCTAGGGCACATGATAACTATAATGGGAAGAACATTGCCCTGTACTTGGGTGTGTCTGTGAGATTATCAGCTGGTGGCCCAAGTGGCAGAATTTGCTTATTTATAATCAAAGATGAGTGGCAACTACATGTGTTAAGGCTGGATTCATAATTATGCTATCATAGCAAAGTTGCCATAGATGCTATGCTATGTAAGGAGTGAGCATGGGTTCTGAGCTCTGCAGGGGTGCCAGCCGTGACTTTTCTGATGCCCTGTCCCTCTGGTTGCCCACAGGATGAGGGCGATGATCCCTGGTACCACAAAGCGTGCAAGTGTGACTGTCAAGGAGGAGCCAACACTCTGTGGTCTGCAAGAGCCACCTCCTTAGACTGCATACCAGGTGAGTGTCCCCTCTCCTTCGGGCTCGCATTTCTCCTCCTTCTTCCAATCTGGCTGAGTTAACCCCCTGAACACCACACTCTGAGTTTTTTCCATTTGGCCTCTGAGCTTCAAATCTCATGCTGGTCTCTGCTTCAACAGATGGCACTGGTGTCAATGTTCAGAAACAGCTTCCTAGATTTCTACTTGGCTGGGCCGAGATGGTAAGATGGGCCCCAACTTTCAATGAAACTAATAAATGGGACCGATTGAAAATAAATTAATAGCAGGTAGCATGGAGTTTTTAGAAGGCTTTAGAGCCAGAAGGACCAGAGTTGGAATCCTGACCTCATCAGTTCTGAACTCTGGTACTGCCACTCTGTTGTCTGTTCAGTGGAGGTGACAGCAGTGTGTCTGGTTATTTACTGCTCACCAAACAGCCATGCACTTCCCCACATTTCCCAGCCCCCCCCATGCAATCAGGTGGCGACTTCTCAGCAGGTCCAGCCAAGGTGAGCAGTCCACTTCCAAAATGACATGTAAGGGCTGGCACTCAACTCTCTGGCTCTTCCTTTCCCTGCTGTGAAGTTACTTGTTGAGATAGTGGCTTCTCCTTCAGCCTCTTCCCTAGGTGATTGTGATGCAGAACCTCTTTGCCCACCCACGGTAGACAGGACACCTGAGTGAAAAACAAGCCTACGTTGTGTGAAGTCTCTGAAACTTCCAGCACAACTTATTCTGCAACGAATGTAGCCTATTTTTAAGTGAGGGGCCAGTAAACTATGTAAAGGACCAGAGAGTAAATATTTGTGGCTTTGTGGACTAAATGGTCTCTGTCACAACTCACTTCGGCTCTTGTAGCTCAAAAGAAACCATAGACAATATGTAAATACACAAGCATGTCTGTGTTCCAATAAAACTTTATTTATAAAACAGGCAGTGAACCTAATTTGGCCCAAGGGCCATAGTTTGCTGGCTGCTCAGAGTTGTTTTGAGGAATAAATAAGATGAGACATTAAAGCAGCTTGAATTGTACCCAGGAAACTGTTTAATAAAGGTCAGTTCCTTTTCTTCCTGCCTCCTGAGAGCTCACACTCTGAAGGAGGAGTGAGGAGATCCAATTTTCAGAGGCTAGGCAGTCCCAGCAACTATCGGCAGTGTTTAATCCTTTCCATGGCTCAGAGCCTACTGTGCATGAAACCAGCCTGGTTGCCCCTTCTCCAGGGTTATGATGGTGCCATGCAACTTCATTGACTTCACATAATTGCCTAATAATGGTGCCACAAGAGACAAGTTTGTGTGTTTGTGTGTGTCTCTCTTCATTATTTCCTTAAATTTGCATTAAAATAGCAAATTGCAGCTTAGTGGGTTAGGATACTAGGCTTCTACTGCCTCAGTGTTCCAATTTACTGAAGGGGTAGGATATGGTTTCTGAACCAAGCCTGTTCTCTAGGGAACAGAGGGGGCCCAGTCCTGAGGAAAGCATAGCGCACTGTTTAGTTCAGTGGGCTTTGCCTAGGGGCCGTCCCATTGTGCGCCATGACATTAGCTCATGCAGTCATTAAATGCTGATGTGATCTGCTCAGACAATATTGAAGCACCCTCCTTAATAATCCATTTGGAATGTGATTCTACTGCCCATCTTTCATCATGTGCCTATTATGTACCAGGCACTGACAGGGTGAAAGAAAGGAAAGCCTTGTCTCTCTGCCTTGGAGAAGTTTAACATTTAGTGGAAACAAGTGTTCTTTCTGCTAGAGACGTGAGACCTACTGGAATTCCATTCCAAAGAAGTTCTAAGAAGAAATTGAAAACAGACGAGTTATGTGGACTGGCTTCATTTGCCTAATCAGCGGTGATACTGAGAAGGGTCATGTGTTTGAGGGGTGTGAAGTTGACCCTGGTCCCCCAAGCTGTCTCTTCTACACAGTTGCCATGAACTTGAAGTTCTAAAATGAGAAATTATTTTAGCCTAAGTGTTCTCCTCTCTCCATTGCACTATTTTTTGTTGTTGTTGTTTAACAACACAGATATTTTCAGGAAGGAAAAAAAAAAAAAACTCAGCCTCAGTAATAATCAGTTGATTCATTGTTCTTAATTGGTTCTTCCATTAAAGAGATGATTCAAGGCAGTAGGACTAGTTAGAAACTTCCAGAAGTCAATTGCTCAGCAGTGTTTCAGGTTTTTATTAGCATGTCCAGAATGTCATTTGGTCTCTCTGGATCCTGAGATGCAGATTTTCCACCAAAGCCCACTTTAGTGGGGAAGAACGCCCTAGAAAGCACAGAAGGTTGGGGGGGGGGTCACTCAGGGCTGCTAGGAGGAGCTCACAGGTGCACCCTGGCTGTTAATACCCATTCCCCACCCCACTCCACAGAGCAGAAGGCCAGGTGCGTTATGGCCTCCTAATCTTCAACTTAATGCTATTAAAAATACTAAAAGCCCTGTCTTTTCCACTGTTGAGCCAAGATTACCCTGGCACTCTGAGAGCAGAAAATAGGGTAGGGAAGGTGTCAGAAGTATAAGAAATCCAATGGTGTGCTAATGCTTTACTTTGATTCTAGATTTTATGTTTTATATTATATTTGAGTTTATCATCTATTCTTTCATAAATATTATTCTATATATTTTAGTCTATATTGTCACATATATTCTCTACATGATTATATTGTCATGTAGATCTTCTATATGATATTATATTGTCACACATATTCAAGTCACATATACTATATTGTCACATATATGCATAATATTATTCACATCTCTCTGGAATCTCTTGTCAAGAGTTATCCTGAACTCTCTTTGTGTTTCCTTAGGTTAGCACTCTCTATAAGCACATCTGGCCTTCACACCTACAAAACCCAGAAAGTATTGACTGAGAAAAAGGACTAGTATGGAGGACCCCCCAAAACCCTGGAATTTATTTATAGAAAATTGTGTATTTATTCACACATGTTGAAGCTTCAGCAACCTTCAAAGTACTCATCTGATGCAATACACCTGTTGAGACACTTTTGCCACTGCTCAGAACAGTTTTTGAACTTGTCAATTTTGATGCCTTTTAGTGCTTCTGACGTTTTTGTTTCACCTCTTCCACACTGGCAAAATGTTTCCCTCTGAGGACTTTTTTCATCCAGGGAAACAAACAAACAAACAAAAAGGACTCTTGGGGTGAGATCAGGCGAACAGGGAGGGTGGAGCATGGGGGTCATGCCATTTTTGGACAAAAACTGCTCGGCACTCAGTGCAGTGTGAGCAGGTGCATTCATAAATCATCCATCATGAAATGGGCAAATGTGTTAAAAGAATCTAAAAAAAAAGAAAAGAAAGAAAAAGAGTCACTGAAGCCAAACGCAGCCTCTCACCACAATGCTAGCTGGTACACGGATGCCAGTGGGTTCCTAGAGCACTTACTTAGCAGGGGAAGTCTGTACTACAAAGGGGCCCACCCTTCAAAAGATAATTCCATTTTTTCTGAGGGGTAGCCTTCGTATGTTCAGTGTACATAGCCTGGACTAGCACATTACAAATATACTTTTATCCACCTAATGACCAAATCATGGCTCAGGAGAGCCACTTGAGCCACAAAAGATGCAGGTTTTTTTCTTAAATGAGTATAGAAACAGGTTTAATAGCTACAACAACAAAGTTACATTGGGCGGAAAACTCGGGAAGGTCCTATTCTCTGTGTGTCTGATAAGAATTCTCTTAATTCCTTCAGCAATATTATTTAGGTTGCTTTCCAGCTTATACTCAATTTATGGTTTCTCTTTGGTTAGGCCAGAGTGGGGTCTCCAGGCCACAGGTAGCTTCTACTTCTTCCCTGTGCTCTCTGTTGCCTGTTTCTGCCATTTCCTCTGCTTGTCCCCAGGGGCCGCCCATACAGGAGAACAAGGAGCGAGGCAGATGAGGGGAGCTGGCAGTTAATGAAGGCTGAGGGAAGAGTGACAAGTGACAGGAGTGCAGGGTGCCGAGGAAGGGAGGCAGCACCTGGAGCCCCTTACCCAGTTCAGGGCTAGTACAGATTTGAAGGATGAAGATCGTTGTCGGAAAGGTAAAAGGGGTCCAGAGGAGACGGCCTCAACGGAAGCCTTCCAGGCTGTGTGTAGACCTGATGGGCACTCACCCAGGACCTTGGAAGGAGGAGAGAGGGAAAAAGAGGAGTCAGGAAAAATCTCACTAATATAACTGGAGTGCAGCTTACCTCACGGCACAGAGAGAGTGAGAAATGTCACGTTTTCTGTATTTACATGTTAGACTAAATCCATTTAAGTCCCCCTTTGAGTCCCTCCCACCGTGAGAAGTCTAAGGACAGGATTTTTGAAAGTCCTTTCTTTCCCCCTTTGGACTACACGAATTCTCCAAGAGCTTGCAAGGGCTGCCTCAGGGCGAAACCTGGGCACAGGCTGGGTGACAGGCTCCCTGCTTGGCTCACAGCCCCACTGGAAGGCAGATACTTTGTTGGTGGCTCCTCCCACTCTGAGTCAAGCTCCATCCAAGGGACCTTCCCAAATTTCCTGAGGGTGCTCAGAGCTCAGGGCTCCCACTCCTGACCCTAGTCCAGCCTCTCAGGAGAACCATGTCCCCACTGAGATCAGGGCCCCGTCATGCCCTAGGCTGCTTGCATCGTTAGTCACATGAAACTATCCTCATTTTCTGGAGGAGGTATACATTGGGGGTTGATGATGACAGGACATAGTAGGATAGGGGGGTGTTGGATTTCTGCCCTGCTGAGTCTTTGCCAGAAAAAAAACACAAAATTCGAGAAGATGTCAACATAGTCTCATGAAGTCAGCTACACCAATATCATCTGCTGCTTTGTGGCCAGACACTGCTCTACAAACTCTAAAGTCTCTAAACATCATTTCACTTCATCTTACAGCAATTTTATGAAGGCAGGTACTACTGGTGTGTCCATTTCACAGATGAGGAACCTGAGACCCAGAGAGATTAAGCAGCTTGCCTGCACTCACACTGTGGAGGAGCGGGATCCAATCCCAGCTCTAGTTGGCTGGAAGCAGGGCTTCCTTCTTGACCTTGACCACCCATTTCAGTTACTCGCGCTGTATCCCGATGCCCAGGCCTCACCCTAGACCCATGACATCCGAATCCCTGAGGAAATGCCCTGATGTCAGCATTTCTACAGCTCCCCAATTGATTCCAGGGTGCAGCCCAGGCTGAGTCCCACTGGTCTAAAGTCTCTGCTTACCACTTTTCTGGGTTAGGCAGCTGGGGAACTGGAGGTGGCAATGCCTGGGACCTGGAGGACCAGCCAGGGAGCAGGCGTGCAGGTTGGATGAAGAATGGTTCAGGTTGGGACTTGTATGGCACAGAGCTTCTTTGGGCCATGTGGGGAGAAATATTCACCTGGAAAATATTCAGGGAGCAGTGGGATGAGACTTGGAGCTTGGGAGTCAGGCATCAGATCTTAGACACCCACTGTGGCCCGGGGGAAAGTGAAATCAAGGTCTTGTCCAGGGAGTAAGTACAGCATCCATATCTCAACACATATGTCTTTAGATGGCAAAGTGAACAACAGATTCTCTGTTGCCTGCCCAAGCCCTCACAGGCCTCCAAGGCCATTGGCTCTGGCCAGGTCCCCCTGTGGGTCTATAGCCTGCTCATAACCATTAGATAGGCTAATTGGGAAGAAATGGTGAGAGAGACGAGAGGGAGAAACAGAGAAAGAGCAAAATGCCAAAATGAGGTGATAGGGAGAGGTGACATATTTATTTCCTCCCTTCTGTCTCCTCCCTCAGAGCTGGTGCTCTGAGCAAAAATAAAAAAAGAGGGTCGATCATCAAATGTTCAAGGTGGAAGGGCCTCAGAGACATTCAAGGTTAGAATTTTACTGATGAAAAAACCTGAGGTTAAGTGATGGCCAAGGGCCCCACTGAAACCCTGCTTCCTGACACCAGGCCTTGTTCCTCCTCTCATATGCTCTGACTTGTCTTCTAGGCTGGAGGAATGTGTGGGGTGTAAGAGCCCACAAGGCCACGGGCGCTCAGCCCTCAGCATCTGCCAGCCAACAAAATGCCTTCCCTGGCAGGCTAAGGTTCCCCAAGTGCACTTTCAAAGTGTGCTTGTTCAAAAGGCAGATGCTCTGGGGTGGAGTCCTGGGAACTGCACGCTTAAAAAGCTCCCCTGTTGATTCAGCCACACAAGACATGACTGAGTGACCCATAAAGTGCTCCTCTCTCTCTCCCAGGAGTTGACATTATTTTACAGGCTCCCAAAGTCTTGAAGACTTGATAAACTACAAACGTGGTGCCCTCAGTCCCACCAAGCTGCAGATACTCACGAGAGTGAGGCCTATTCCTTCAGGCAGAAAGGAAGTTAAGCCCCCGTTCCCAGAGGTCTGAAGCTGTCCTTCTGTTTTCAGCCTCGGGGGACAGGGAATTACATTCAAATATACTGATTTTTGAAAAATTGTCCAGAAAGACTTTAGCATTTGTTTTACTGTTACAGGTGATGAAGCCTCAGTAAATATATTCAGCCCTTCAACCTGAACTCAAATTTACACATGGAGAAAATAATTTGATTTGCCTTATTTGGAGTTTATCATTCACAATCAGAAAACTAGGTGAATAAGGCAGGAGGATCGCTTGAGGCCAGGAATCTGAGGCTGCAGTGGGCTACAATCGCACCACTGCACTCCAGGCTGGGTAACAGAGCAAGACCCTGCCTCTAAAGAAAAAAAAAGGAAAACTCAGAGAATGTATTTACCTATATTTATCACTTGTTTTCCAAGGATATTCAGCTAGGAACCAGGCATGGTTACAAGTACAAGACCCCCTAAATACTGGCTTATTGAATTAATTTCTTTTAGCTCACATGGTAAAAAGACGAGGGATAGGGAGTTGCTTAAGTGTATCAGGGCTGAGGTCACTGCAACAGGAAGAAAGAAGGGACAAGTGAAACCTGACCAGGAATCTCCAGCAGGCATCCTCTTATAGCTCACTGGTCAGAAGTTATGTCTCATGGTCACTTCAATTGCAAAGGAGTCTGGGAAAGATTTTTTTTTCAGCTGGCTACATTGCTACCCCCAATAAAAGGAGGGGCTCTTTACTCAAAAAGAAGGGGAGAATAAAAAGGGGGAGAATGAAAAAGAAGGGGAGAATGAATACTGGATTGAAAAAGAGCAGTCTCTGACCAGGTTGCCCAATGCTGTTAAAGTGAGAGGATATAAGACAAGAGGAAGCTGGAGACAATTAACCCAGAAGAACCACCCTGGCTATTCCTACTGGGAAAAAGCAGGTCCTTTCAGCTGTTTCTCATTCAACAGTCCCACGGGCACATTTCACCTGCTTTTTTTTTTTCATTAGACTGGTGAGAAAACTGCAATTTACAAGTGGGAAGTCAGTCTCAATATATAATTGCCCTTCTTGCCTCTTACCGTTCTTTTGTTCCTATAATTGGCATCATCTGCTGTCCAAGGAAAATTAGGGACACTGATGTCATCACACAGGATGGCTAAACCTGTTCATGAGGGAAATAAAGATGTGTGGTATTTAAATATGGTATTTCACTGTGCACCTTGGTTTTTAGATCTCTAAGATGGTGGAGGAGGTAAAGTATTTCTCAAGTGCTCCTCCCCCTCCCCCCCATGAAGTTGCCAGGGCACCACTTCCCTCTGCTCTTTCGAAGGTTATGAGTCTCTTCTCGTGTGAGTGGTGAACAGTTGAAGGCCTACTGGGAACCATGCTGACAAGTGATACATCCTCCATCTCCACAGTGCAAACCAGATGGGTTTGTTTTGTTATTTTAGTCACCTTGTGCTTGTTGAGTATTGAGATATGAGTGTTTCAATGTGCACTGTTTTTCCTTTCCCAGAATGCCCATATCACAAGCCCCTGGGTTTCGAGTCAGGGGAGGTCACACCTGACCAGATCACCTGCTCCAACCCAGAGCAGTACGTGGGTTGGTATTCCTCGTGGACTGCAAACAAGGCTCGGCTCAACAGTCAAGGCTTTGGGTAAGCAGGGCAGGCAGCCCAGGGGCTTTTATCTCATGTACTTTGAAAAAATAGGTCTCAACCTGGAGCAGTGGCTCACGCCTATAGCTCCAGCACTTTGGGAGGCCAAGGCAGGAGAATCGCTTAGAGTCACCACTGCACTCCAGCCTGGGTGACAGAGTGAGAGCCTGTCTCCTAAAAACAAACAAACAAACAAACACAAAAAGGAAATATAGGTCTCTCTAATAAATGAACGACACAGAACACATTTATTCAACAAATATTGATTGAGTGCCTTCCATGCAGCAAGGATGGTGGATAAAGCAGGCCTCCAAGAGGCATACAGTTTAAAGGGGGAGACAAACTATGCACACATCATCACACTCATTGTTCAGTAGGTGTGATGAGAGCTGTCAGGGAGGCGAAGAAGGAAGAATGACCTCCTTCAGTTGACACACCGGGAAGGCTTCCTAAGGGAAAGGTATTTGACCTGTGACTTGAAGTTGGCCAGAGAAGGGAGAAAAGAGGCACGGGGTATAGCAAGCGCAAAGGCCTTGAGTTGGGATGATACCTCAAGGGTGTGGATGCTGAACATAAGGAAGGCCAGCAAGGCCAGCAAGGCTAGGGCACAGGTGAGACAAGGAGGAGAGGTAGGCAGAGGTCAGATGGTGCAGGACCTTGTAAGTCACACTAGTAACTGTGGTCCTTATTCTAAGGCTAATGGGAGTTCCCTGGGTGTGTATTAGCATACAGGTTTGTGCTGCTGTAGCTAAGAGCCCCAAAGTACAGTGACTTAATGTTGAAGTGTATATCTTGCTCACCTAAACATTTTATTAGGCAGTCTAGGCATGTTATGGCAGCTTGATAGTAGCAGGGGCCTTGTTATTCTGTTGTCCTTAACATGAAGCTTCCATCTTGAGGTCCAAAATGGTTGCTCTAACTTCCATTATCACATCCACATTCTTGTCAGTAGGCAGAATAAAAAAAGGAGCAGAGTGCCTACACTTTGCCTTTGAAGATACAATCATACCCTATTGGCTACTTCTGCCCATATCCCATTGACCAGAATTTGGTGAGCTGGCCCCAGCAAACTGCAAGGGATACTGAGAAATGTCACCTTACCCGAGTGGCCATTTGCCCAGGTGAAGTTCAGGGGTGCTATTACTACAGGAAAATGGGAAGAAAATATTGGGAGACAATTAGCAGACTCTGCCGGATAAAGACTTTAAGTCAAGGAGTATCACAAGCTGATTCATATTTTAAGAAAAGTTCTGGTTGGGTGTAGTAGCTCATACCTTTAATCCCAGCACTTTGGAAGGTTAAGATGGGAAGATTGCTTGAGGCCTGGAGCTCAAGACTAGCCTGGGCAACATAGCGAGACCCCCCCCCCCCATCTCTACAAAAAATTTAAAAAATTAGCCAGGTGTGGGTGTGTGTGCCTATAGTCTTGGCTTTTCAGGGGGCTGAGGCAGGAGGATCCCTTGAGCCCAGGAGTTCAAAGCTGCAGTGAGCTATGATAGTGCCACTGCACTGCAGCCTGGGCAACAAAGGAAGATGCTGTCTCTAAATTTAATTTTTTTAAAAGTGTCTGATTGCTGTGGGGTGAATTGTTTAGTGTAGAGGGAAGAGCAGCCCAGGGAGACTAGTTAAGTGAAGTACAACAAGAAAGGAAGGTGACATGAACTAGGGTGGCAGCAGTGGAGACAGAGAAGTAGAGGGATTTGAGAGACATTTGGAGATGGGGCCAATAGATGGAGTGGGCATCAGGACTGGTAGAGAAGAAGGGGCCAAGGAGGCTCTCAGATGGCTAGAATGGACGCCTGGGAGGATGGGGTAGCACTCAGAGAGTTGAAGCCTGAAAGGGGTGTGGGCAGGGGCAATTTGGGGCTCACTTTTGGATGTTTCATCTGAGATGCTGGAAGTCATCAGAAGTCACCTAGCCAGTAACTAGCTCTCTGGGCTTGGGATTTAGAAAAGGCCTGGGATGGAAGTAAAAAGTTAGGAGCCACTCAAGGAGCAAGTCTGGAAAAAAAAGAGTCTTACCCATGCTCTAGCCTTGCTGACCTTCCTTATGTTCCGTATCCACACCCTGGAGGTATCATTCCAACTCAGGTCCTTTGCACCTGCTGTACCCCGTGCTTCTTCCCTCCCTCCCCTAGCCAACTTCAAGTCACAAATATCTTTTCCTTAGAAAGTCTTCCCAGTGTGTCAAATGGAGGAGGTCATCCTTACTTCTTCATCTCCCCCACAGCACTCAGAGAAGCTAAAAATATGGACTAAAAGGAGAAAAGGAGAGGAGGTAAACGAATATAGGTTTCTACAATTTATGAGGAATGTAGCTAAACAACAAATTAGTTGCTTCAACAGTTATCTGGCTTTCCGCCTGTCAAAGCCCTTCTACATCCACCAGTCAGGGCTCTGTACGAGGCAGACACTCCCGAATGCCAGGGATGGCCGTATATGAAGGAGACACAGATAGGTATGAAGAGGGTGAAATATGGAAAAAGAGTCACAGGGGAGACTTTTGCAAAGGGCAGGGGCTGGCAGTGTGCACATGCATGTTTTAAAGAAAGACATGTTCAACAGCATTCAAAGCAATTCCAGCTACACTTGAAGGCATTTCTTTGACAATATGAGTTGAATCTGGCAATTTTTCTGGGGACGCAGGGATACAGGGGAAAGAATGAAGTACAAGTTAAGTAGAGTGGAGGCTGACACTCCTCGAAGACAGGGCTTTGGGTGCTCACTAGGCTGCAGCCCAGACTTCCTGAGTTTGGCTGAGGACTCTTCAGGCCCTCCAAAGCCAGTGCCTGGTGGCTTTTTGGCCACATTCCTAGAGGAAGGCTCCTGGTGATTCAGTGTTTCCTGGCAGGTGCGCCTGGCTTTCCAAGTTCCAGGACAGTAGCCAGTGGTTACAGATAGACCTGAAGGAGATCAAGGTGATTTCAGGGATCCTCACCCAGGGGCGCTGTGACATCGATGAGTGGATGACCAAGTACAGTGTGCAGTACAGGACCGATGAGCGCCTGAACTGGATTTACTATAAGGACCAGACTGGAAACAACCGGGTAAGTTGGGCTTAGCCCCAACCCCCTTAGGCTCACCCCCCCATGTCTCCCCTCCCATCTCTGTGCTTCTGTCCCCAACCTCTGTCAGAGCATAGACTCCAGGGCATGGTGGGTCATCTGTGCCTTTCCCCCAAAATATGGTGTGCTCTTTTCATGTGCTGTCTTGGTGCTCAGCACAGTTTGTTTGCAAACAAATGCCACTTTTAGGTACAAAAGAAGTATTTGTCTGAATTTTCACATCAGTATATAGTTGCTTGAATACTCAAGACTGGTCATTTGGACTATTTCAAACTCACTGGATCATTGAATGTTCTTTGCTTCATGGGTCTGGCTTGATCTGTTACTGATGTGCATAGAGCATTGTCCATTTATATAGATATGGCCTCTCCTTACTATTCACTGAGACCAATTGCTGGGAGATTTTTGACAACTTAGTAAGTTAGCCACCAACTAAATGGCTAAAAGGACTTCACCAGTGCAAAAACAAAGGCACTTAAACCTTTGGGTTACTCCATATCCTGTTAATCTTTGTGGACTGAGACCAAAGTCTTCTTCACCATAGGCTAAACACAGTAGGCTCCTGACTACACAGATTTGCAATGAATAAAAATGAATTAAGAACACGAACTAGCCAGAAATGTTAACTGTCCTTTTGCCAAGAGTAAGGAATTCCTCAGGCTAATTGTGACATTTTATCAGGTTAAAGTAGACATGCGCAGTTGAGAATCAGAAGGTTTTGTAGTCTCTGATGACAATTTGTACAGCAAGATATTCATGGGTCGAGGTATCAAGGAATTTGAACACAATAGGAAAAATCATCTTGATACTTGGACTTCTAATTTTGCTCTAGTCCTTATTAGTTGGCTTCTCTAAAAGATAATAGAAGATTTTCAAACCCTTGCTTCTGAAGGCTTTGATGGTTTCTTGCAAAGAGGCACTCCACTGGGCACCTGTGCAGTTTGGAGAGGCCCGCTACATCTTGCTCCAGACTTGAACAGGCTCAAGGACAAACAGCTTAGAGAGGGCAGTGTGGGGCATTGCTACTGGGAAGAAAGACAAGATCATGGCGGACAAAGTTCTTCCTGTTCTGTGGATGCACGAAGTCAAATGCAACAGCCAGATATTTTCAGGAGATAATCTCAGAGGATGAAATGAATGTTTCACTGTGACTCTGGAACGAAGGCAAAGAGTGATTTCTTTGGAAAAAGTGTCAAACATTCACTGCACCTTTTTATGTTGCATGCTATAAAACATTAGGCAAACACCTTTTTTTCTCTACTCTGGCACCACTCTACCCTTTCCAGAATCTTCTCTCTAGTTTTTATGTCTTAAAAAAAAAACTTTATCCAAGTGTAAAAGGTTCTTGTCACTTGTATCAACGTATGGACACGCACTTAAGCTTTGGCTTACAATTTCTGAACCAGGCACGTTTTTACTTGAGCTCCACTTTGGCTATGTGATGTGGGCCTTTTCAAAACTTCCTGTCAAAATGCGAACGATAAAAACAAAGATTAGTGACGAGTCAAGAGGCATTTTTTATCAACACTATCCAGTAGGAATTTCTGCCATGATAGAAATGCTCATATCTCCACTGTTCAATATGAAGGCCACTGTTCACATGTAGCTACTGACCACTTGAAATGTTGTGAATGTGACTCAGGAACTGAATTTTTATCTAATTTTAATTAGTTTGCATTTAAATAGACACATTGGCTAGTGGTTACCATGTTGGGTGGCACAGTTCCAGATGTCCCCATATAACCATATAGTGACTCAGATGCCCTGAGCATGTAGGTGCTAACAATCACTCAAGGTCAGATTTTGGGGGGGCACTTGCAAACTCTGAACTTTAACCATTTTTTAAGATTTTCCATAGTTAAAAGCTCCAGACAGGAATCATTCCTCCTTTTCTCTACCCTGATGTGATGATGACAAGACTGCCTTTCTCTCTTTAGGTCTTCTATGGAAACTCGGATCGAACCTCCACAGTCCAGAACCTGCTGCGGCCCCCCATCATCTCCCGGTTCATCCGCCTGATCCCGCTGGGCTGGCACGTCCGCATTGCCATCCGGATGGAGCTGCTGGAGTGTGTCAGCAAGTGTGCCTGAGGCCTGCTCAGCTTGGTGCCTGCCAATAGGCAGAGCGGGCCTGGGGGCACCCCTGACACACCACTGGGACAGATAGGGCTGTATATTACAAAGCACTTTTAAATGCAGAGCTGAGTAGAGAATATTTCATTTTGAAAAAAAGATATAGTTTCCAATTTTCAGTGAAAGAAAAATGAACTTATTCCCCACTCAGAGCCAGAGTAAGTAAGAACAAAGAAAATGTCCCTGAAAACAATTTTCTTACAAAAACTTAAGTAGCAGGGGTAATTTGCTGCCTTTTTTTTTTTTTAACAGTGACACTGTGAAAGGTGTAGTCTCAGGAGAATACAAAACAGCCCTGATTAGCTGGGCTTGGTGGCTCAGCCTGTAATCCCGCACCTTTGGGAGGCTGAGGTGAGTGGATTGCCTGAGCCCGCAGGTTGGAGACCCGCCTG